ACCTCATTTGGAATACTGTGTGCAGTTCTGGGCACCACACCTTAAAAAGGATATTATAGCTTTGGAAAAAGTGCAGAAAAGGGCAAGTCGAATGATAAAAGGGTTGGAACACTTTCCCTATGAGGAAAGGTTAAAGCGCTTAGGGCTCTTTAGCTTGGAGAAAAGACGACTGAGGGGTGACATGATCGAGGTTTATAAGATTATGCATGGGAAAGAGCAGGTAAAGAAAGAGGTACTTTTCTCCCTTTCTCACAATACAAGAACACGTGGGCACTCCATGAAACTGCAGAGCGGTCTTGTTAGAACGGATAAAAGGAAGTACTTCTTCACCCAAAGAGTGATTAACACATGGAATTCACTGCCACAGGAAGTGGTGGGTGCTACAAGCATGGACGGCTTCAAAAGGGAATTAGATAAGCATATGGAGCAGAGGTCCATCAGTGGCTATTAGCCACAAGGTATAGATAGGGGCTCTGGGGCAAGTGATGCTCTGTCTTCTTGGTGCTTGGGGGGGGTCAACAGTGGGAGGGCTTCAAATGTCCTGGCCCCACTGCTGGACTTCCTGATGGCACTGGTATTTCTGGCCACTGTGTGACACAGAGTGTTGGACTGGATAGGCCTTTGGCCTGATCCAACATTGGCGTCTCTTATGTTCTCTTATGTTCTTATGTGAGGTAGGTGGAGTTGAGAGAACTGTGACTGGCCGAGTGGCTTGACGTGGACGAGTGTGGAATCAAACCCAGTTCTCCAAATTAGAATCCACCACTCTTAACCACTACACCACAGCTGGCTCTCAAAGGTCTCAGTGGACACCAGGGCATCCACAGGTACCACATTGAGGACCATGGATTTAAACTAACCTTTTCCCCTCCTCTTATATTGAGCCTGGGTAGGGCCACCACAGACATTCATGACAGTGGGAGGATATGTTCATATGGGTTGTGGCAAGAAGCTTGCAGAAGGTGAGGTCCATTTAGGCTTTCCCCCCTCCTCTTCCTGCAGGTATTTAACCTGGGCAGGGCCACAGGCATTCCTAGAATTGGGCGTTTGTGAGGATGATCCTGTTGACCAGCCGGTAGCAGGCTAGCACCAGCTGAATTCCTTCCCTGCAGGTATTTGCTGGGCTCTCTCAGAAGCATGAGCTGCTGGCCCTTGGTTCGACACCTGGGACCTACGGCAGTCAGCTTGGTGGACCTGGACCAGCCTACAGTTGTTGTTCTAGTATAAATTATTTTGTAACTTGGGAGCTTTATTGTAAGCTGATTTGTGTCCCTTCAGGGAGAAAAGCAGGCTAAAAATGCTTTTAAAAATTTGGAGCAGCACGAGGTGGGAAATATCTGAGTTTGCAGAACTGACAGTATCTCTTAAGACTATAGATAATGGTTGAAGTTATGGAATATTCCCATGGTTGAATTAAGAAAACCTCTCTGTAAGCAGAAAAGCAGCACAACAGGGACTAGGCTGGTTTAGAAACTCTTCCTAACACACTAGGGGTTTTTAAGGATATTTTTCACGTGGGGAACATTAAAAAAAACAATTCCTTGCCTATACTCTGATGTAGTATAGTTCAAAATGCTGCTAGCTTTTAATATACAGTTCAGATGTGATGCTGTAAAGCAAGAGGGACTTAACCTGCTTTGTATTTGCACAGCATCTCCTTTAAACTGGACCCCCCCCCGAAAAACAGCATTGTGCGTTTAGTCAGCTTGCCACACTCAACTGTTGTGCAGGCATGCTAGCTAAGCATGTTTTGCTGCTTTGACCAGACAGCAACCCAGTTTAAATAAGAGCAAAGCACCACAACTGAGTTCTTTTGCTGTGTTTAAAGTGGGTTGCTACACAAACAATTCCACTGTATGCCAATGTTCATCCCCACTATGGACCGCTAGCATGCTGATACTGCAATCATAGGAGCTGAGGCTAGCTTGATCTCATTGGATCTTGGAATCTAAACAGGGGTAGGTCCTGGTTAGCACTTGGATGGGAGACCACCATGGAAATTCAGGGTTGCTACATACAGGCCCTGTTCATACGAGCCCATTTGGGCCGGGAGCGGGACGGAACGGGGGCGGAGCAAACCGGCGTGATCCCACCTCAACATCTGGGGAGCATGCCGGATCCGTCCCGGATCCGTCCCTTCCAGCGTTGCTCCGCGCCAAAAAAGAACCACCTCCCGAGGTGGTTCTTTCTGAAGGGCCGCAGCAACGCTGGCCGTGGGATCGCCGGCGCGTCCTTGCGCCGGCACATTTCCGGCTCCTGGCCGAACTGCGCATGTGTGAGCATGCGCAGTTTGCCAGGCTCCCCTTCCCACCGTCGCGTTCTCCCCGGCATCTGATCGTGCCGGGGAGCGTCGCGACGCGGCTCGGGGGATCTGTGAGATCCCGCCGCGCCGTCCCAACTTTGCTGCGGCTCACATTAGCTGCAGTACAAGCGTCTTATTCCCTGCCGTGTGGCAGGGACCACAGGCAGGCAATGGCAAACTGCCTCTGAACACCTCTTGCCTTGGAAACCCTACAGAGTTGCCATAAGTTGGCTGTGACTTGACAGCACACACACTGGGCACTTTCACACATGCTAAATAATGCAGTGTCAGTCCACTTCAGTGACCATTTGCAAGTGGATTTTGACATTTCACACAGTAAAATCCAGCTGCAAAGTGCACTGAAAGTGCCCCCCCCCCAACTAGGGGCCCTACAGGCCATCCAGTCCAACCCCCTGCTCAATGCAGGATCAGCCTAGAGCATCCCTGACAAGTGTTTGTCCAGCTGCTGCTTAAGACAGTGAATAGGCTGGATCTCTTCAGACTGCAGGTTTCTGATCAATCTTTTTGAAGAAGATTTCTATTGGGATAATTTTTGACTTGCAGTGAGTTTTTTTTAATGGGGGGCATTCTAATGTTGCTTCCCCTCCCCGCAGTCCGTACAGCACACGTTACTAACTCCCCCATTTTCTGCTACACGTATAAAAGCAGATCTCAGAGCCTTGAGATGAGTCACCCAAGATACTTCTCAGCCCAACAGAAATTGGTTTGTCGAGTTCTCAGCCCTACCTGCCCATTACCTGCTGTGCTTATTCAGTAAGTACCACCCTTTATGGCAACTTCTTAGGGAATGCCATTTCCTCCCAGGCTAAAAGAACTGGATTTTATTTACTCTTCAGTAACGCTATGGTAACACTAGACACTGTACTACAAACTGATGGGGGGGGGATAGTGTAGTCCAGGAAGGCTACAACAAAATAAAGAGGTGACACCTTCCTAATGGGATTCTCTCACAGAGATGGATACCATTTCTGCATGGTGTCATGCTAAATTCACTAAAGGCAGTGTGTGCTCCGGGGCCAGCTGAGAGCCAGTTTGGTGTAGCGGTTAAGTGTGCGGACTCTAATCTGGGAGAGCCAGGTTTGATTCCCACTCCTCTACTTGCAGCTGCTGGATGACCTTGGGCAAGCCATAATTCTGTCAGAGCTGTTCTCTCAGCAGCAGTTCTGGAAAGAGTTCTCTCAGCCCCACATACCTCACAAGGTGTCTGTTGTGGGGAGGGGAAGGGAAAGGACTTTGTAAGTCGCTCTGAGACTCTGAGTGAAGGGTGGGGTATAAATCCAATCTCCTCCTCCTCCTTCTTCTCGGCGTATTGGCGCGCATGCAAATTAAAGGAAAGCTGAGACTTCCTTCCATGACTGATCACCCTGGCTGGTTGATCTGCTGTTCTTGTTGTGGTAAATGCTGTTTTCTCATTACCACATTTGACTTAATTAGCATGCAAGCAGCTCTCTGCAAATATTGGAATACCCTTGCTTAAGGGAAGGAAAGGGTAAAAAGAGGAAGTAGGAATTGGCTTATTAAGCAAATACGTCTTGAATGCTGCATGCCAGATTGCTTACCAGTGCTGCAGTTTCTTCAAGACCCAGATACCTTAATCCACCGAAACTTTGTTTTTCATAATGGACTGAAGGAAGACCCCACTTGACTGACACATTTCAGAATGTCCATTACAAGTGCAACAACCATCTTTTATTTGCATTGCTTATTTATAGCGGTGTCACAGCTCAGGTGGGGTGTCACCTGACGCTGCCACCACTCTGGATTTAGGATCCCTTGAGAAGGCCCAGAGCACCCTCCCAAGACCTTCAGACCTCCCTTTTGGGCGAATAATAGACATGAGGAACAGGCAGAGTGAACAATGAAAATAGTTTATTTTATAGGAGGTCAAACAACAAGTGGGTGAAAAGAAATCAAATGCCCTAACACATCTAAATAGTTCACTATCTCAAATGGCCTTAGACTACTTACCCTTCCCTCAGGATGAGGGTTTCTTCCCCACAGCAGCCTCTCTTCTTGCTCTGTTTCCTGGGAAGAAGAACATCTTTTTCCTCTTGCACCAGTTCTTATATTCCCCAGCCTTCTTCTTCCCTATTGGTCAAAATCAGCACCAAAACTCCCCAAGGCCTTCTGGCGTTTGTAGGCCCAGCCTCCCCTACTGCTAGCCAGGCTCCTTGGGCCTAGTAGGCCTCTGGTGGCACAGCCCAGATCATGACAAGCAGTTATACCACAGCTTTCTCTTTACTCCTCTCCCCAGTTAGTCAGCCAGTTATTAAAATTAAGTACAACCCTCCCCCCACAAGACATTCACCTCAAAATTCACCAAAAGTAATGCTTTGAATTGAAATGTGTTTGCAAAAATGTAGGTGCATGCGTGCTACCAAGCTGCTCATGAGCTGACATATACCACACAGCCCAATGAGGCTGGGCTCCTATTGCCATAATACTGAACCAATTCTACCAACTTCACTGGGACTTTGAGAACATGCATGAGTCTGGGTTGGCCACATTTTCTGTGAGAATAAACTTTAAGTAGTTCTTCCATTTTCATGACATGTTTTAAAAGAGACAAGAAAGTCATAAAGTGATAATTCACTAAAATTTATTATAAATTGCCTTTAAAATTCAGGTATACATAACAGCAAGTTAGGTTTGAATGAAATTGTTACAGAACCCTGAAAAGTATTAAATTATTATGAAGCAATTTATACTAAACCTGAAACAATGTGAAAAAGTCCTTCTCTGTCTGTATGAACCTGATGGGTATGGGGCTACCCATCTGCAAGTCAGAGAACCTACCAAACAGTACCAACACAGTGAGAACTATTGCCTGTGCCTTCTGCCCTGTTTTTTGTCATTCACTCTCCCTTCACATCTGATTGGGGACAAAATGAAAGTCCCACTTTCATCAGTAGATGGGATGGGGGGAAGGAAGGGTAAGTAATTAGACCCCAGAAGGGAAATCACTGAGAAACATAGTGGTGCTGACCTCTCCTGGTATGTTGGCACTGGTAAAAAAGGTAGATTCTCTCCAGGTTGCCATCTGCTACTCCTGCTGGGACAATCACCTATATGAGGCAATACTATTTAAACAGGAATTTCATACACTTGCTGTAAAACTGGACATTTTCTTCAGAGTTACACACATTCTGTTGCTACTTTAAAACCAAAGTACACTTTCAGTAGTCTGTCCATTTCTGTTAACAGGCCTATTCTTCACCTCTATCATTAGTTTGTCAACTACAGCCACATTTTTTTTTCTGGGAATGTCTCCAGGTGCTTTCATTGGAGTGTTTATTGATTTTTGGAAGGAAGACAGAGCTACCTGTATTATATCCAAAACATCTTAGGGTTCTTCTACCCATTTTCCTGGGTTTTTCATTACCAGATCCTTCTATGGAAGTTTTTCTAATGCAAAGACACCATTTCCTCATCTGAAACACTAAGCAAACGTAGGAAAATGATACAGCATAAAATGACGTGATCTGTGGCCTAGTTCCATCGGACAAAGCCAAATTTATGGGATAGTCACCGTAAGAGTTGGGGGGAGTGGCTGCCTTCAGTGGCTGCCATTCTAGGAGAAAATCCAGAAACTGCTTGTGTAGGCGATGGAGGAAAGTATAGCATCCAGCAAACTTTTAGCAGTATCAGCTGTCCAAAATATCTAGCCTATAGTACCAAAATGTCTCTATCTTCAGACTTCTTAAGCCTATGCAATGGAAGCCACAGCCTGTTTACTTCCTAACTTCTGTGAGTTCCTAACCTTGGCCAAGTCAAGGAAGAGAGGTATTAATAGCCACCCTCACTCCCTGCTACATCTCCCTTTCTTTCTCAAAGACAACTGCCCTGATGGAAACACCCAGGTTTAAATAGCATTTCTTTGCACATCCTATAATTCTTAGGTTTCTTCCTCTTGTGGAATAAAGATCCAGCTTTCATGCTCTCTGCTTGGCTCTTATGCTTTAAGTGCAGGTAAAACAAAACAGTTGTTGTTTCGTAGGTGTCAATCAGGATTCTCACTGCATGGCCTAGGTTGGCCTCTGGAGCACCACCCCTTGTGGAAAGATAAAGGTGCACATCAGTGTAGACTTTAAGGGTCAGACGGATAAGTATGCACATGCATCTCCAAAGCCACTGAATGGACACACCTTTAGCATCTTACACCATCAATGTCCTTCCTAATTATGGGCTTCATGCCAATGGATGCTTTCATGCATGCTCAATATTGCACTCTCAGTCCACTTTCAATGCACTTTAGTGATCATTTGCAAGTGGATTTTGCCATTTCACACAGTAAAATCAAGTTGCAAAGTAGACTGAAGGTGCATTGTTCAGTGTGTGTGTGACAGCGCCCACTATGCTGCAACATGAACTGTTTGACAATTCACCTCTGAACTCATTAAATGACAAAACTGTGCAACACATCACTATCATCAGGCAGTGAATAAAAGAAAAAGCACTTCCTTGGGAAAAATATTAAGCAGAAGAGTCTCTAGTTTAGCTTATGGAAACAGCATTTCCCCAGCTGGAGGGAGTAAAAAAGCTTCAGCCTGCCTCTGGCCAACACAGTTGATGCTCCACTATGAAATAAAATATTCTAAAGTACTAACTTTTCTTCTTTGTAAATCTGTATAAATTAGCAGATTTGAAGAAAATCAAGTTATGACATTTCCCAAGAGTGGCATCAAAGCCTGGCAAAGTGCTGCTTTAACTGAGTGATGAGTTGCTTCGTGTCCACATGTTCTGGAAATGCTGCTTCGGACTTCTGGGCAGCTATGTAACTTCTTTGGAGATCTCCAACCTACAAGAAAGGTGTGTGGGATTGAAAGACGTGCCTTTATTTGACTGCCCCCCATTTGACTACTCTCCCCCAACCCCAGTCAGTTTAATTATTATGTTCCATTTTAACAAATATATCCTATTATACAGGGCTATGTCTGGTCTTTAATTTGTTTTAATGTACAAGTCAAGAATGTGTCTCTCCCTTAGTGAAATCAATACAATTTTAAAAAAGCTTAACTGAGCTAAGATCATTCTCTTACAGGATTGCTACAGACAAGGTTTCTTTATGTGTGACTTTGATTTGCTTTGGAAAAAACTATGCAACTGCAAAGCAGATTGCATGTTTTGTGGACATGACCCAGGGATATGACTTGTCCCATTTATTTCCACAAGACCTTAACAAGAGAGTTTTTCAAGCGCTTAGCTTGTATACTGTAATCAGTAGGACTTAATGGTGCCTATGTTGGGTTGGACTGTGTCCAGGACATGAATATTCCATGACCAATTTTTAAACAGGTAACAAAACAGAAGGTACAGTTCAAAGAAAATGACTTTTTGGAACCCACTTTTTGGAACCAACTGCAAACAAAAGCTGCAGTTCCCATGTTTTAGCACACCCACAGTAATCCATGCAGAAATTCCCTTAATAATGCAGAGAAAAGGCATGATGCTCGCTAAGTGGCCTTGAGCCAAAAAAGAAAAGCAGGATATAAACATTTTAAATAAATATGCTTATTTCTGTTGGATTCAACAGACAACAAAAAAGTCAGCTACAGCATTACCTTATCAGACAGCACAGCAATGTTGAAGTGTGGCTCGTACATATGAGGTGCTAACGATGATGCTGTCTGCAGAAACAGTCGTGCCTAAATAACAAATAACATACCAACACTTGACTTGTGCATTTGTATGAGGCAAGAGTCAGTGCTCCTCTGTATTCTATGTCTATACAGCAACAAGAGTCACAAAGACTGTTCAAGCCTTCAAAATGTGCAGATGCTGTACATATATAGAGGAAAGCAGGGTCACACCTGCTGGCCTCATCCAGCATTCCCAATTGTGTAGCGGAGTCTAACGGCACATAAAAGCGTATGAGAGTAGGGGCTCCCTGCAGATATTGACCTGTAGATGGGTTGTAGCAAGTGGCAGTGGGCATAATGCTGTACATGTGTTCAGCATTAGGCAGCTTTGAATTCCTGAACTGGCCCATGGTTGGCGGCAGATTTTGCAATTCACTGTGACCGAAGCAAACAGGACTTCTCTGAAAGCCAGCAGGGCAAGACTGAACTCTGAGTCAGGCTGTATTATGTACTGAATACAAGCAGTCTTTGTTTTCCCACGAGGACAACAAAAGGCCTTTTATCTAAGTTCTCTATGAGATCAAGCATACTATATAAAAGCTGGGGGTCTTGAGAGATCACTACTGGGATCACTAGCTGAGGAACTCTTCCCCCTTCCCATACACACATCATATTGCGCAGGCCTGCTGAGCTCCAGGGCTGGATCAGTCACCGCTCACCTACCTTGAACTTCCGTAGTTCAGTGCTGTAGTGCAATTGCTCTGTTGCGCTTTCTGCTGACAGGCAGATGCCCAGATAGCCCTGTATCTGAGCTGTACAGCACGGGTGTGTGTATATGTGCATACATGCATTTTTAGAGGCTACTTTATTTCGGGAGGGGGGGTTGTATGTGTGTGTGGGGGGGTAAGATTACATACATCTCTCCCTGTAGTGTGGCTTTAGCCCAATGCCATTTCAGTAACTGATCTCCCACTGCCTTGTAACCTGCTTTAAAAAGCCCATATAGTTCTACCTTATCCCTATATACAATCTATTTTAATAAATGCAGAGCTTTTGACAAAATCTGTAACAAAATGCAAAGACTAGTTTCCAAACTAGGGACTATTAAAGGTCTATCACAACATATGCATTGACACGTATACAATGAAACACACTCCAAAACTGAGGAGCCATTTCTAACATTCCAAAATCCTGAGCTGGAAAACGTGCAAATGGAAATGTCTGTACTATTGTGCTCCCCCCCCACCATCCTTTTCTCCTCCCAGCTCTGTTCCTGCAGGATGGCAAGGGATTAGAATTGACAAGTGTTCTGTTCTTTGAAGTGCTTGGAGAGCAGAATTCTTATCTCAGTTTTCCCTGGAGGCTCACAACAAATGGATTGTCAGAGAAGAGCCTGACAAATGACAAGCTGGACATATTTGCAGCCTTAAACCCATTTCACTTAACACTCATTTGCACAGTCTAAGAATTAGGGTAAAGACCACTGCAGTTCTGTTCTAGAGAAGCCAAAAGAATTTTTTTTGTTTTTGTTTTTAATCACCATTGAAAATAAGGGGCTCTGTAGAAAAATAAGCATATTTTTTCTTAATTTCCTTGGTACTAAGGTACATTGTTATTGTATATTGTTTATACAGCACCATCAATGTGCATGTCCTACTACAGAGTACATGAAGACAGGTCCCTGCTCCAAGGCATTTATAATCTAAAACTGGATGTACAGGAGACAACAAATAGAGGTGAGCGGGGTGGAGATGAACAGGGGGGGGGAATGTGTTCATTCCAGTAATACATTCTTTTGAAAAACCATCTGAAGGAAGTGAACACATGTTCACTTAGGGGTTTGGAAACTAAGCCTTTTGAAGAAAGGCTGTGGAAATTGGGAATGTTTAGCCTGGAGAAGGGGGGGGGATAAGATTTTTAAGTGTTTGAAAAGCTGTCATTCTGAGGAGGATAGGGTGCCATTTCAGTTGGCGGTGGAGGATAGGACTCATAATAATGGGTTTAAAATATGGGTAGGGAGATATCAGTGGGATATTAGGAAAAACATTTTAACAATAAGGGCAGTTCAGCATTGGAATCAATTGCTCAGGGATGTTGTAGGTTCTCCCTCCTTGGACATCTTTAAACAGAGATTGGACATTTATTTCCCAGGGATACTTAGCGACACCCCTGCATGCTGCAGGGGGCTGGACTGGATGATCTTTAAGTCTCTTCCATCTTTTAAATCCTGTTCTAATTCTATGTACACATGAAGGTGCTTTACAGTAAGTCAGACCACTGGCCTATCAAGGTCAGTACAGCGTACCCTGACTGGCAGCAGCTCTCCAGGAACCTAGGCTGAGATCTTTCACATCACCTGTTATCAGATCCTTTCAATGGAAATGCCAGGGACTGAACCAAGGACTCTCTGCATGCTCTACCATTAATCCACAGCCTTTCCTTCAGCCAAAAGAAGTTGCATTACTCTGCTGTCCTGGGAGGCATAAGGGGCACAGTCATTTGAAGAAGTGGGAGATTTTAGGACAGCTGAAGGTTGAGACAAAGGAGTGAAGGTACTTTAAGGGTATACTAGGATAGGAGGGAAGGGAGAGCAAGGCAAGAGACGGCTCTGAAAGTAAGGCTGAGGAGTTAGAGCTACATCCATGAACAGACTGACAGGGACTTATTGAACCGGGTCACAGGATCAGAACAAAAGGGCTGAATGCTTTTGGAGTCAAAGTGCTGAGAAGAGAAGGGGTACAAAGTGCAACCATGGCACAGCAGAGGGGAGAAAGGTCACAGCAGCCAAAACAAGATGATCACAGCATAAACCAGAATTTATTAGTGAGCAAGCAGAGAGGAAAAGTTCATTTTCAGTTTTGGAAAGGGAAAAGTAACACAAACGAGGGATGGACTAACAGCAGGGAGTGAAAGAGGGAAGAGAAATATAAATTCAAGGATTTGGACTGCAAGGTAGGTGGTGATGCTGTCAGTGGAAATTTAGAGAGGCTGAAGAGAAGAAGCCTTGGGAGAGAAAAGAAGTCAGAATTTCAGTCTTGGGTATGCGAAGATTGTGATCCAGCTGGAAATATCTAACAGGCAACTGGAGATGCAGGGAGAAAGTTTGGGGGCAGAAGGGTAGAGGTGGGTGCTATCAGCTATAGGTGGTGCTGAAAGAGATAAAAGTTGACAAGATCATCCAAAGACTGATACTCAATGCAAGAAGACTGGGACCTATTCTGAGAAGGCCCCAGAAGATAGAAGAAAAGTAGAGGATGTGCTGCCCTCTGTGGAAACACTGAATGAGTCACGGAAAGTTGCAGGGCCAGTCCCTGGAATCACCTGATAAAGTATGTGTGTTGATAAAGATATTTTCTGCTGTGTTGGGAAAGACCTTTCTTTCCCAGAATCCTTGAAGAAGTATAGCCAAATCTGACAATACTGAGTTAGATGGATCAATGGTATAAATGAGCTTTAAGTAAGGAAGGTTTCCTTCTCATGGTTCCATACTAAACCTCATGTGGCAAAAACATGCAGGCAGCCCCTGAAGTCACCATAATATTATATATAATTGAAAAAGGAGGCTTGAATGGAAGTAATAACCATTTTTTCAACAAGTCACGTCTGCTCTCGCTGTGTTGTTATAGATAACATACATTAAGCTCCAAATGAAGCCTAAGTATATGCCAATTGAATACGACTCTGTAAGGAAAGCTGATCATCATCTGTCACGACAGAGAGTGGTGCAGGAGTGCATTTGAATGTTGCCATAGTAATTGCTGGAATATTTATTACGGTAGCCCTGAAAGTAACTTGCTGCTTAGAAACAGAGATTTAAATAAGGACTTATGCTATACTGTAATTCATCAGCAGGCACTCTAAATCCACCAAAGCACTTTCACTATCCATTTCAAAATCCTCATTAAATCTTGCTCACTGCAAACCAAATTATGAGGCAGAAGCACTAATACAGCTGACATTTTTAGAAATGTGCGTACAATCAAAGCAACGGCAGAGATTTTCAGTTCTTTATTTGGTTTGGCCAGGGATGACCGAAATATTTAATATTGCTACCCCTAAGAGTTCTTTTTTTATGCCTTACACAGTGCTCTCTCCTTAAAAATGTGACCTTTGCTTGGGGTTTCTACTTCTCAAAAGCTCAGTTCAAACAGCACATGAAACCATGGTTCATTTAAACTAACTATGGTTAGTGTGGTTGTCTGAGCTCAGGCCACTCCATTGCCTATTGTTAGTTAGGGTTTATCAAGCCAGGATCTGAAGTGGGTTTATTAGCCATAATCAGTCTTAAATATGGTTTCTTGTGATGTCTGAATGCAGACACCCTAGCTTAATTCTGGCCTCTTCTCAAACCACAGAGAGAAGGCAATGAAACCAGCTCTTGCCAAGACAAACTAACGTTTGAATAACTGTTTGTGAACTGGATCTTGGTTTCACAAATTAACAATAGTTAAAATAAACCATGGGTTCAGGTTATGCCTGAATCAAGCCTAAAAGCTGATCACTAGGAACACTTAGAAGTCCAGTACAAAAACTGAAATGCCTATTCCAGGCCAAGTATTTATATTCCAACAAGAATCCCCAACTCTTTGTAAGCTAAACAATATAAATGACAGCATCTCATTCCAACACAGAAGTCTCTTCACTTTTGTGTGCAACAGATCCCATGCCATTTCTACTTTTCATTTCTACCAACCAGAAATTTCTAATGTAATTGCTTTCTTTTATGTAGACCATCTTCATCTATAAATTTAGTTTTTTCATCCATGACTCCTTGAAATCCTTAAACAATTTTTGCTATAACAATGCTAGTCAGGCTCTGGGTGTGAGATCAGGTGGCAGTTTGAGCATTCCAGATCTGGTAAAGTAAAGGTAAAGGTTCCCTTGCTCGAAAGCCAGTTGAGTCAGGGCAGGAAATCTCAATGGTGCCTAAAATCAGTGTGTCACATTCTCTTCCAGAACTCCCAGCTAACCTCCTTTAACCAAAAAGTCCCCTGAAACTAATACATAAGCTACAACTGCTCCTGCTTCCCTTCGAAATTTAACACCAACCTGCTCTATGCGGCCTTTTTGCATTTCCAGCACAGCCAAGTTGTTGTAAGCTTCTGCATGGTCATTGTTGTTTGTCAAGGCCAGCTTGAAACACTGGAAAGCCAAGCTTGTATCCCCTATTCCCTGAGGAGGAAAAGCCAAAAATATACATGACAGAGTTGATATAAAGCCAGTCACCAATACTCTGTTTGCTCTGCCATCATACTGTCACACTGGAGTGTGACCAAGAAATAGAACTAAGAATGAGGCTATGTGGATAGCAGCAGGTTCATTTCCTGATGGCTTGTGGTGACATCATCAGTAGGGAAGAGAATTTACCACCTTCCCAACAGTGATGTCCTCAAGTGTATCCCTTTACTTTCTTGCCTAAGTGAATGGATGCCATTTGGGGTGGGTGGGGGGTGTAACTTGTCCTAGATTATGACAGAGAACAGGAAAGTGCTGCTCCTAGTGACGGAGAAACTTGCCTGCTAGCATTGCGAATGGGTGGCTCATTGTCACAAAGTGACACTGGAGGGATGGGGGAGGATGCCATGTGCTCGTAAGAACCCTTTCAAATACAACACACACACCCCACCCACATACAGTTTGGTGTAGTGGTTAAGTGCGCGGACTCTAATCTGGGAGAACCGGGTTTGATTCCCCACTCCTCCACTTGCGCCTGGCTGGATGACCTTGGGAAAGCCGTAGTTCTTGAAAAAGAGCCGTTTCTGTCAAGAGCCCTCTCAGCCCCACCTACCTCACAGGGTGTCTGTTGTGGGGAGGGGAAGGGAAAGAAGTTTGTAAGCCGCTCTGAGACTCCTTTGGGTAGTGAAGGGCGGGGTATAAATCCAATCTCTTCTTCTTCTTCTACACATACCTTCATTCCCCAACATAACATGCATTTTGCAAGAATAGAATAAATTTCAAGTTGGTTTTGTGGTCCTCCATCTCTTTTTAAAAAATATATGTGTATTATAAAAACAGAATAAGAGTAAAGGATGCAGAAAGAAAAAAGGGGGGGTTATACAACATAATTATGCATATCAAGTATAACAGAATATATGGAACAGAAGATATTTCTCTCCAACAACCTCTTCATTATACTTACTTCTGTTGGAGTACACTTATATTCAATCTTAAATTTCAAACTTCATAACTATGTCTGTTTTGCAACTACATCATTGATTTCGTATTATTACAATCAACACCATCTCTGTAACGGCCATGTCTACCCAGGCAGGAAAGACGATCACAGAAGAGGCAGAAAGGGGGAGGTAACTGGCTGTGTTTAGGGAACCTGTGACCTAAAACCCCTTAGAAATATCGGGGGGGAAACAAGTATTCAAGCCTGGGCACAACGAGAGGTGCGAGTTTTGGGGGCAAGAGCCAAAGAGCTCTTGGCTCTTAATCCATGGTTCAAGTCTATGGCCCAGAGTAAGATGACCTAGGGGACCCATAACTAGCCCAGGAGTTGGTTGCATTGTGTAATTGCTGTTGCGCTTTTTTGTTTATACTATATTTTTGTGTTTCTTTGCAAGCCACTTTGAGTCCGCAGTGAGGGGAAAGCTGAGATAGAAAGTCTTAAATAAATATATATAAATAAATAAAATTACATCACAGGAAACTCTTTCTGTATAACATCAGGAGCTACTAAGCCCAGAGTGTTCTCCATATATATCTGCATGCTTATTCTTACACAAATACTTATGGAAATATGGCCATTTGATTTGAATATAACTGTACTGGTTTCCACTTGTGTTTCATATATTTTAATTCGTAATGAGGCTAATGTTGGGCTTAAATGTCTTTAATCATTTATCAATAAATACATAAATTTTGATAATATTTAAATTTTATATCTATATCTACATCTATCCTATATTATAATCCTGTTTTGGGGTGGCAAGATTCTATGCTCTCCCTCAGCCATTGGCCTGTCAGCTGCCACTCAAGAGTACTAGAGTGCCATTGGCCGAGTGCTGGTTCTGCTTCTCTTCCCCGCCCACTCCCCCTTCAGCCACTGTGCCCTGTCAGAATTACTGGCAAATGGCTTTCTCTCTTGACAAAGACACTTTTCCTGTGTGGGACTAACTCTTCCCTCAGTGGCTGTTGGTAGGTGTTTGTAAGATGGCTGTGGTTCTTTATTTAAAATGTTCCCCCATAAAGTTTGATTGAGCTGTAGTTCCAGAGAGGGGCCTGCAGGGGTATCACTCACTGGGTTGAATGGGGCTTCCTCATCTGCTGGCCTACAGTTCCCAGGTGCCCCAAGGCCAAAAAGTGTGGGAAAACAGGGACTGTCCCAAGGCAGTTTTTGTCTCTGGGAGTGGCAGAAATTCAGCCACTCCACAGTCGGCTGGGCTGAGGAATGAATGGAAGTTTCCCTGTGCTCTTGACCAAAAGAGAGAGGCCCACAACATCCAGAGGTAGAGAGTATTGTGTGTACGTAAAGAGGATTGTGTTTAACCCCTGTTGATTTATGTCCTGTTGGTTCATAGTGTGTGCTTACTCCTACAGTGTGTGTGTGCTCCGTAACTGTGTAAATAGTTAAATAAATTCTTTAATTTGGGCTAATAATCTGTGTTGTGCTCTGACCACATAGTGTCCCCTGCTCTGCACAATACCAAAGGAAGGGGGTAGTCCAGGGAAGCAAGGAAAGACCCTTGGGTTGCCAACTTTCCAGGGATTCCCCAAAGATTGGGGAGTCCATCTCCAAATAGGGAGATTCGGCCAGAGGGGTCTCACTGTCCCTCTAAAAAGGCAGCAACGAGTCCGTGAGTGGTGGCAGCGAACGTAAGGAGTGAGATACACCCACGGGACGAGGGTGGGAGACAAACAGCAGAGTTGTAAACTGGAGCCCATTTCGCCATGGTAGGCAACCAAGCTTGGTTCACACAAAGGAAGGAAACCCTTTGCAGGCCTTTGTGAGGAACTCATTGGTGCCAGTCCTGACTAGAGTTGCCAGCTCCAGGTAGGGAGATTCCTGGAGATTTTCTGGTAGAGTCTATGGGAGCCAGAGCTTGGGGAGCGGAGAGGCCTCAGCTGAACAGAATGCCATACAGCCCACCTTCCAAAGCAGTTATTTTCTCTGGGGGGGAGAGAGATCTGTTGTCTGGAGTTTAGTTGTGATACCTGGTGATCTTCAGGCTCCACCTGGAGGTTGGCTGCCCTA